TTAATGTGACAATTTATATGTGTGGATAGCAAATAGGATTAAGGAACACTACTACTTAAAATGATCATTATCCATTTTTTTTTCTTGTACCTTATGTCTTTCGTCTCCTTCCACAACCATAATTTATGGTGGTTTAATGTTATTAACAATGATTCAACACATAATTGACTATTGCAACTAAAAAATACCGTGTTAATAATTTATTCAAGAAAAATACTCTCGGAATAACTTTTACTATGCAAGTTACTCATAATGTTTTTAAGGCTAGATTAACATATTTTATGCATGAACCTGTATATATCCTAGAGTATGTTTATTGTTTTGTTATTTATAATCGTATAATAATGCTTGGATATTTATGTAGGAATTTGTTTCTCTTTTTATGTTTTCTTGAAAATTTTCGTCGTTACTTAGTAATAAGCAATCTATATGTTAGGTTTCATCTTGAAAATAAAAGTTTAAGATTTCATAGAAGCAAATTTTAAGCTGAGTCAAGTATTAACTCATTTCCTGTTATCATGTTTACCTTTGTTGCTTCAATAACTAACCAAACAAGAATTTTTCTTTCAATGTAGATCATTTCAAATTCATATTTGCCTATTTACTCTTAGTTTCTTTTTGTTGGGGTCAACTAGAAGGACTTGACATGTTTAGTTTTCTTTTTTTAATTTTGAAAAACTTAGACATTTATTTTTGTAGTTGGTCATTTAATTTTATGAAGATGTGGCAATACCATGTAAATCATCTAAGTCAGAAGAGTAAAATACATGAGCTTGTTGTTTAGAATTCGTAATTTAAGTTTTTAGTCCTACAGAGTTATTGTAATCAAGTTTTTAGTTTTCAAAGAGAAGCTTGTTGAAAGGAATAAGAGATAAGAAAAGCATATGTAAGTCCCCTACATGTAGCTCAAATGGTGAAGGCCCAATTCAATTATAAATTTTTTTCTCTAGTTTGTAGTCATGACTTATAAATTTAAATATATTGATTTTCTATAAAAGAATATTATGTGCTGCATCACCAATTTTTCTACATTCCACTTTACATTACTATGATTTGTAGGTGTTATTGATTATTTTAAATAAAAATGACATAAAATGTTGTTTAGTACTTTTTACATGCTAATCATTTTGGTATTCTGTGTTTCATATAAATCATTTTTAGGATTATTCTAATTCTTTTTTATTCTTAAATATGTAATTATGCTCTTTATTTTATGCAGATGTTGCTTCATAAAAACCTATGATGGGATCGCTTATTTTAGGAATTGTTTATTTTACTTCTAGCATCATGATTGTAGACATTCAATGATGATTGTTTTAATCTATACTTCTTACAATGACTTTAGTTCTTGACTTATTCTTAGTTTATGGATTATAAAACAATTTGTTTGTAATTTTATTTCAAACATTATTAAATATCTTGTACTTTATTGTGTATTTTTGCTTTTATGAAATAATATAATATTAAGATTATAAATAAATTAAACTAAATAATTCAAATATAATTCAAAAAGAAAGTTTTTTTCCAATGCTTTAACATCTATACCCATGCATTGATCGTTGATATAGGTAAAAACACATAGGGTTATATCGACAAGCCTTAATGTCGGTAAAAGATATAATGTCAAAAAAATCATTGTTATAGATGGAAAATTCAAAACATACAAATTTATAATGACGAGCGTAACCATCAGTAAAAAGTATAATGTCAGTACACACAACAAATGTTATACAAACAACTATATTAATGGATTCAAGCTGTTAATATATCTTTACTATCTATTTTGATAATTAAAAATCCATTGGTATATGTCTAAACCTATAGCTAAAAAATTATCAGCATAGGTATTTTGATTGTTAGTGTAGGGTTTATTAAGCTATACTGATAAATTTTTAGGTTTTATCAACGGCTTTTTAAACGTCAGCATATGACAATTTTCTTATGGTGACCTAAAAATCAAATCTATACCTTACTATTATTTTGGGGTTGAAGAGGAATATGAAGACATTTGGAAAATTAATGTGTTTAATTAAATGATACGTGTCCTTGATTGTAATATTTTGATTGGGTTAAGTTAAATAAGTTATAAAAAATCGTATGATTTGTAATTAATTGGATTCATGGATATTATTAACTTATGTTCTTATTTTTTTTATTTTAAATTACATGAATCTAATTATTCATGAACTCAACCATTTATGAATTCATAATATCCATGAAACTAATTTAATTGTGAATAAATGTACTTCATGTTTAGTATTATTTAAATTTAATATTTTGAGTCTAAATTCATATCTACTATTGAGTAGCATAAATAATTATAAATCAAACCCAAATTGTATGAATCTAACTAGTTATGAATGTAACTATTCATGAAATTTAGTTCCATGAACCTAATTAATTGTGGATAAATGGACTTTTATGATTAGTGTAATGAACACAATTCATTTTTTTTTATATATTGTTAAATTATTAGTTCTTGGTTTGTATCATTAGAAGTTAAGTTTTAATATTTAGTTTATACATCAATAGAATTCCAGGTAAATGAATTTGTTGATTTATTCACTTAGATATTATTGTATAAATATTTATTATTTGTTTATGTTGAATAAAATTATAATCAGAATGAAATCAGGTAAATTTCCTAATATTCTTAAAAGAAACACTTTACCCATAATTATAAAAAGAAATCATCAAGTTATATTATTGATTAACAGCTACCTACAAAATATATAATACATGTTAGTTAAGATATTATTTGAAGAGTTACATTTAATATATTATTAGTATATAAATTTTATACATTGTTAATAAAATTAACTAATAAATATCAATTTTTAACATAAAAATAAAATAAATTAATATTTTTTAAAAAACTTACTTATTAATAAGATAATCATTCGATTCAATGATAATGTATAGAATCTATATACTGACAATATATCAAATATAAATTTTTATATATTTTTTTACAAATTAATATTTAATTTATAAATTTATATTGAATAAATGCTCAATTTAAAATTAAATAATTAAGTGATTATTTAATTAAAGACTAAATATTTTAATTGATACAAACAAATATTAAACGTTATTGAATATTTATAATTAAAGATATAGTTGGATGCATATATATGCGTGTGAATCAAATAAAAATAACAATTAAATAAAAAAGACAGTCATGTGTCACTTTTTTAATGGTTAAGTTTTATTTTAAATGAAAAATTAAAAATAATTTTAAAATTGAGATTTATTTTAAAAAATCATTTAATTTTTTCTTACTATTTTAAATACAATTTAAAAATAAAAAGTAAAAAAAATAAATATTCAAAGTTCTGAAATTTTTTTACACAACACAATCATTAAATTTTCAATTACTCAATATTAATTTATGAAAAGTATTACTAATCCATACTATGACACTCATAAAATTCAAAAACCCACAAGTAAACCACAAATTTTGTTTGTCCAAAAATTTTGAATTAAAATATGTACGAAAAAGATAGAAAATTGGTACAAATGATCTAACATAAACCCGATTATAAAGCTCAAAGATCATAAACCCATTGAAAAATCATCAAATCCAAAGAATATCCCATAATCTGAATCGTAATTACCCAAACCCATTGTAAAAACAATCTGAAACTACCCGTTTGAAATCAAGCCTTGTGCATCTGTCTGTATCTGTTGTTACAAGCCTTCTGCATCTGTCAAAACTATTGTCAAAAGTCCCAATTACCCAAACCCAAACCCACAGTCAAAATATCCCATAATCTCTAATCTGAACTGTACTATTCCGTCTCAAATCAAGAGTGATGGGGACTCCGTTTGAAACCCAGAGGTGGACTGATTCGAATGGGTCCTAAGAGGCTTCGAGTTCGCAAACTGAGCGACAGCGGTTTGGATTTCGGGTAAGAAAGAAGAGTTGAATAAAAAAAATTAAATGAAGAAAAAAAAGGATAGCCTTCAGAACATAACAATGGGAGGTTTCATGGAAAAAGAAAAGTTGAGGGGAGAAAAATATGAAGTTAGGACAAAAAAAAACTGGAAAGAAAGAAGAAAGAAGAAATAAGAAAAAAAAGTTGTCTTCTCATGAAGCTGAATTTTTTTTTTTTTTTTGGGTTTTGGGAATAAATCTGTATCAATACATAATTAAATCACTTAATTAAACTACACGTAAGAGATTCGCACAAAATTTCATTTAAATATAATTTTTAATTATAAATATTTGATAATATTTAATCATTATTTATATAAATTAAAACATTTAATTTTAAATTAAACAATCACTTAAATATTTAATTATAAATTTAATATTTAACTCTTTATATTTAATATTATATTATTATTAATAAATTAAATAATATTATTTTATTAATGAAATAAATCATAATTTGATTAATAAATAAATTTTTTATATATTTATTTTAAATAAATTATTTATTAATAAAAATTATCATTTAATTTATCAATAAAATATAAAATATATTTACTAACAAGGACATTAAATATAAACTCAAAATCTAATCGTGTCGGTGTTATTTTAAAATTGTACAAAGTACATGCTGAAGTTATTGACAAATATACTCACGGTAGCTCCCGATTTTATTTTAAATTGTCATCCACCTTTTTTTCTTGGTTGAAAGCAATCATTGTTGAGCTGATCTTTAAAAAAGCCGATACAAATTTATGGGCTTAGTCAGAGCGTCAGATCTACAAGCATATTCCAGTTTTTAATTACTACTATGGCTATTTGTAGACAATAATTTATGGTTGCTGATGTCTTCCCATTTTTCAATTTTTTTTTCTTCCCTTTCCCCTACTTTCCTCTTCTTCCGTTGAAGTAACCAGAACACAACTTCTGTTTCGGAACACGGGAGAACGTCCCCAGTACCAGAACACTAAATTGAAGTCACAAAACCAAAATGGGACAAAAAATGAAAAAAATAATAAAAGGAGAGAAGCACAAATGCAAAATTGAAGGTCTTTGACATGATGTATAGCTGAAAAGGAGGAAATCACTTTCCTTGAACTAATTATTAAAATAAGAGATCATACATATTAAGTTGTCCTACTAAATTTACTGTTAGACCTTGCTACAAAAAAAAATGGCAAAAACAAAAGCGGGTAGTAGTAATTCCATGAATTCAACGGTAAGATCGAAGAATTGCTCCACAAAAAGTACATATAATTGCTCTCCAAGATTTCCAGTAAAACGGCACGTAGCAAAACCTTGTAGAAGTTTTTATATCAGCTACGCTAGCCCCTCCACCGCACCTCGAGCAAAACCTTGCCGCCGGTTTACTTCTTCTTACTTTCTTTGTCTGATCAACCAGAAAACAGAAACACACCATGATTTTTGCTTCTTGTTCCTAGCTTTAATTTTCCGACCTGGATGAATACTTTTTGGAGTTCTGACTAACTTGCTAGATATGAATAAAGATATTACTAGTTGGTTGTTAAGAAAAAAATGCATACGGGCAGTTCCATGTAGAGGTACATGAGGAGAGGTTAAAAGACAAGCAACTTTGGCTATCTGACTATATAATATGGGGAAGAGTTGCTGATAGTTAAGTCTCATATGTGGGTCTGATACGTGTAAAGTAAATGGATCTATGCCGTACACGTAGAGAGAGGGAAAAGATAGGGGAAAGCTCGTTGTTGGAGCCAGCAAAAGTCCAGCCGGTTTCGTTGAACCCAACGCCACAAGCCCACAACGGATGTCAAGTCGCTGTTGATTTAGGACGCAAACGCAATGCAGTCCTTCGAATGTTTGTTGTATCAAATACGTAACTCTGTCAGGCATTTAAGCAAGGCGAAAAGAAGTTGGAAATAGTTTTAAGTATAAATGGTTTGTTTTTCGTTGGGGCCACATCCAGCCAAATATTACAATAATTACGTGCAAGAACAAATAATAAAAAATGTACGGAGGCTGAACTCAGTTGGGAATATGGGAACATATATACGTCTTACGGCTAGCCTATGGTCCATTTTGAGACATTAACCAACACAAAAGACTTTTACAACATTTTGAAATGGGAAACCAAATACTAATCAAAATAAAATGTTAAATAGTCGTATAGATATAGTTGCTAACTTTTAGTTTGTGATTTTCTCTTTCTCATTTGGTCTTTGTCAAACTTAATAAATATTCATGACTATGGCTCCGTTTGTTTTATAAAAAATAATTTTTATATTTTTAACTATTTATTTAATAAAAAATTAATTAATTAACAAAAAGTATTTTATTAATTAATGAAAAATGAGATCATTTTTTAAAATTATTTTACGGATTTTGTTTATATGATAGAAAATTGATTAGTGAATAAAAAATAATTTATTGATCAATAAAAAATAAGATCATTTTTTTAAAAATTATCTTACGAATTTAAAAATGAAAAGATATTTTAAAAAAAAAAACGGTCTATGAGTATAACTATTTATTAATACTTTTGAGTATAATTTTACTTATAAATAATATTGTTTTAATAAATAAATATTATTATATTAATAAATAATATTATAATATATTAATAAATAATATTATATTAATAAATAATACAATAATAAATATTATTAATTTAATTAATAAATATGATAATAATATATGAATAAACAATGTAATATTAATAAATAATATAATATAAATATAATATATTAATAATATTATTAATAAATAATATTATATTTTATTAATAAGTAATATAAAGAATAATAAATAGTTTTATTTAAGTCTTTTTTATATTAACATAACATTTAATATTAAAATTATTATAAAAATTAAATTATTTTTTAATATTAATAATTTAGTAATAAATAATTCATTATATTTTAATAATAAATAACTTTTAATATTTTAATAGTTATATTAATATTATTTGAAATAAAAAAGATTTTTTAAAAAATAACTAAATAACAAAAAATATTTTTTATTAACTCATCTAAACAACAAAAAATCTTTTTCAATTTAAAAAATATAAATATTTTTCAAAAATTATTTTTTAAAAATTATTTTTTTCGAAACAAATGCAGCAATGTATTGGAAGTTATTCTTTTAAAGAACAGTAAAAAATATTTAATATAAATTAATATATATTTATATATATGCAAGTTAAATGAATAATGATACCGAAAATTACTTTTAGTGTGAAACAAGAAATTTAAAAAAAAAAAGGACATAGGAAACAATGTTTCCCAACAGTACTTTTCTTAGGAGCTAAGGAAAAGATTGCTTCTAGCTGCAATATAGTAGTTCTTGCATTTGTATTGCGTTGGTTTTGCGTTATTGGATACATTATTCAAATTTAATAACTAAATTTTGGTTACCGTACATAATATAGTTTGTTTAGGCTATCATGTGTCGCAACTTTATTTTATTTTTTGGCTTTTTAGTTTTTTTTTTAGTTTTTTAATCTTTTAACTGTACTTTTAAAATTTTTGATAAATATTTATTTTAAACTTTAAATATATATATTTTTATATGTGGGATCTATTCATTTCAAATTTTCTTTTTTTTTTTTTTTTTTATCATTTTAAAATTTTTTCTTTCTATATAAAAATATTTAATAAAGATTTTCTTAAAAGGTAAAATTTTTGTGGACCCACTTGAGTGCTGTATGATCGACAGTTTTAGTTCCTTGAATTATTGCTGTCGTTCTTTTTTTTTTTTTTGGCCTTTTCCTTTTTCTTGGTTTTTTTTTTTTTTTTAACTTCTTACTTTTTCTTTAAATTTATTTAGTATATTTTTTTTTAATTATAAAAGTATATTTTTTTATAGATTTTATTTTTAATGTTTAGGATCCATTTATACCAAATTTTCTTTTTTACTTTTTTATTTACCTTTTTTATCTTTTCGTTTTTAAATTAAAAAAGTATTTAATAAAGATTTTATTTATATTTTAATTTTTAAGACTCGCTTGATATTAATTATATGTTACATGTTTATTTTTTATTCTTTTTCTTTTGGATATTTTAAAAATTATAAAATATATATTTTTTAAAAATGTGATTTTCACTTATACCGAATTTTCTTTTTACTTTTTTTTAAAATTTTTTTTAACTTTTTTCCTTTTAAAAAATATTTAATAAAGGTTTTTTAGATTTTTTTGTATAATACACTTGAATAATTTGTAGTTAATAGTAGGTTCCCTTGTACTATGTGTGTCATTTCAGGTTTTTTTCTGTTTTTTCATTTTTTTACCTTCTTTTTCTTTGGTTTTTAAATTTTTTTAAAATTATTTATAAATATTTTTTAAAATTATAAAATATATTTTATAATATTTTATTTTTTATATTTTGGTTGCATTTATATCAAATTTGTTTTTGCTTTTTTTATTTTTTTTTACCTTTTTACTTTTTTAAATTCAAACAAATATTTAATAAAAAATTTTTAGATTTTATTTTTTTTGAATAACTTTGATACCGATAATATGTCACGTATTTAATTTTTTTAGTTTTCTTTTCTTATATTTAATAAATAAATTTTTTTAGGCACACTTGATATCAAAAGTATGTTAGTATACCGTGTGTTAAGTCATTTGACTCTTTTTTTATTTTTTATTTTTTATTCATTTTTTTAAATATTTAATATTTCAAAATATATTTTAAAATTTTTTAATATAGAGTCATTTGATATGAATATTTAAAAAATATATGTTCCTTTTTTTCGCTCTTTTTGCTTTTTTAATTTGATGGTTTTTTAAAGAAGAAAATATTTACAAATGTGTCGATATTATACTCACAATTGATTTTATTTTGGTAATGCACCATCTGACCTAAGGGTACTGTGTGGCACATTTTGGCGCTTTTTATTTTTTGTTTTCATTTTTGCTTTTTTATATTTAATTAAACTTTTATAATATTAAAAAATAAATATTTTTAAAGATTTTAATTTTTTTAATGTGAGACCTACTCATATCAAACTTTTATTTTTTTTTTTTTTTATCCCTTTTTTAATTTTCATTTTTAAAAATATTTATTGAATATTTTTTATTTTAAATTTTTGTGCAAGAACCGCTTGATACAAAGTGTATATCATTTTTTTTTTTACTTTTTGTATATTTAATAAATAATTTTAGATTTTAATTTTTTTGTGATACTCACTTGATATTAAAATTATGCCACACGTCAAGCCATTTGATTTATTTTTTCACTTTTATTCATTTTATTTCTTTTCTGTTTATATTTTATATTTTAATATTTAATAAATGTTTTTAAATATTTTAAAATTTTTAAATACTGTATCATTTGATATTATTATTAAAAATAAGTATTTTTTTCATTTTTTCTAATTTAATCATTTTTAAGAAAAAAATCAACGAAGGTGTTAATGTCACAGGATTTGACTTTTTTTTTTTGTATTTTTTAGTTTTTTTTAAATCAATGATATAAATTACTTTTAGAAAAAATACATCATTATTAATGTCACATGACAATTCAAGTTTTATCATTTTTTTGCTAATGTCGCCTAGATATATATTTAATTAAATTTTATATTTTATAAAGTATATATTTTATATTTATTTTAATTATAATTATATATGTATTATATTCATAAAGTTATTATTTGATATTTTAACCTAACAATTTAATATTTTTAACTTAATAAGAGTGTCCATGTGACACCTTTTATGTCATTTTTATTTTATTTTATTTCCTTTTTTTATTTTGTGAGAATAAAAGGTAAATTTAGATATTTACATCTCAACCCTATTTGATTTTTTTATTTTTCATTTTTAATTAAATAAAAAAAAACAATGAATAAATATCGTAAAATAAAAAAAATTTGATTCACTCAACATGCGAATTTTTTACCTAATTAAAAAAAAAATGGACATGTTAATAAGTATATAAGGCCGAACAGCTAGACCCAAAAAACTTTCCAAAACTATGTGGCCATGCTTAAAAAAAAATTATATAATAATGAAAACGAGGTTTAATGCTTGAAAATGGAGTTTTCAGTCTCAAATCTCAACCATAAAGAATCAACTATCAACCAACTGATAGCTCTATGTTATTAAAGGGGTGTTTACAATTAATTAGTGACGAAGCCGTATAGGATGTTGCATTCATGTTTGGACATCTATAGATACGTATCAATTTTTTTCTTCACAAAATTCTCACACTTTTAGTGTGGTAAGAAAGGACATGAAAGAAAAGAAAGAGAGACTGATGATAATTAATGAATTAGAGGAGCCGTATGTTTGTTGAGCTCTTCATTAATTTATCCTTTATCCTAATATTTGTCATGAAGCAAAAATAATGAACCTGTAATTTTGTGGCCATGCTTTTAATTAAATTAGTCAATTAATTCACCTAATTGTCATTGTCTTGGACACAGGTGAATCATCACTCCATTATCACAATTTGAAGATATAAAATATTATAAATATTAAATTTTAAATTTTAAATGTATAAATTATTATTTGACTGCATACTCCCTAATTTCAAGAAAATTTGACCTTTCAATGCCATAGTTTATATAAAGAACTCAAAGAAGAAAAAAAAAAATCTATGTATTTGTCTAAATATATATTTGTT